CAATTCCTAACTTACGAGTTGCTGAAAATACTCCAATCCGACTAATCTCACATCAAGCAAACGAGGCTAAATCAGGGCACTAAGATCAAGATCTGTATCCCAAGGGATTTAGTCTTCGCTCGCAAAATACGAAGCACGCTTTCATCGATCTACTAGTGCGCACTGTCACTAATTTGCATTGAATAAGACCGGAATTTGTATAATCACCTGCTTGAGATTTTTTAGTCTCTTGCGCTAAGCTGGTCTTAGCAAAATCTGCACATACCAGAAATTTTTGAGATACATTATCTGGGATGACGAATCTCAAAAATTTCCGGAATGTAGCAAATAATTAGAACTGCGATCATTCCAGCTAATAGCGATCTGCGAGTTTAGTGCAAAAACGCATGATCGCACCGGAGAGCTTGGTGCGTTCCAGCCTGGGTTTTTGAGTAATCCTTATAAAAGAAAGTCGGCAAAGGCCTTCCCGGCAGAGTATGGCTGATAGAGCGTGCTTCTATTCCGGTCACTTCCGATTGTTTCTGTTTTCATAAGTGGGCCCAGGGAGGTCTCCTGGGCGGGGGAAGGGGGAGGAGGAAAGGGGGAGGGGAGGAGCGGATTTTTCATCTCACCTTCTTTCTTCGTCACTATACCTTCTTCGGGCAGCTCCCAACTCACCCTTCACTCGCCGCACTATCTCCTCCCTCCCCTCCCCCCCACCCCCCCTTCCCCTCCCCCCTCGAAGGCTCGTGCGGGGAGTGAGGAACAATAGGGGGTAACGAGCAAACTTTTATATGCTACCTAACCCCTGGGGAGGAGGACGAAAGACCTCTCGCCCACCCCTCCCCCTTGATCCGCCAGTGTGTGTTTCCCAAATTCCGTGAATTATGCGAGATTTTTAACTATTTTTAACTGAAAAATTTGAGCAAACTGAAATCAGTAACCGTAAGCTCATCGCTTGTTCTCTGCTCTTTGACAATTTTAGCATTGATGGCATCCAGTGTTGCCTTTTTTTGCAAAATTGCTTCCTTCCTCTCAGCAATACTCTGTTTCAGCTGTTGAATTGATTCAAACGCCGCATGCACTGCCTCTTCCAAAGCAATCTGAAAAAGAGAAAAAAAAGTCAAATCGGCGGTAAAATCTAGCTGTAGCAACGGTCGCCCCGAAGAAAACGGCATTTTCTTTGCGAAAGCAAAAAACTCTCCGGTCAAGATGAACCTAACCCGAAAACGCATTTTTTTTGCGCTTCCAGAACTCAACCTTTCTCCCTTAATATAATTTAATATTCTTTTTTGCTGAACTTCTGTCCGAATCTTGGGCCTTTTTTATGAAATTTGACGTATTCTAGAGCTTTTGCGATCAACTTATGCTTTGTCAATCATTTTTCGTCCACACAAACAAATCTGTTCGCCCTTCCTCGAAAATGAACACAAAATTTTTGTCAGAGACGTCAAGTCTGGCTGCGCTCATTGATGTTTCTATTGTTTCGCTCTAAAAACAGCATTCGGATTTATGAAGAAATAAGCGTAAGCTAAAAATAACCGCATAAAAAGCCGAA